CTTTCCCTCGCTTTTTCTCTTTCTACCTTTCCTCTGTCTGCCCTTCATGTCGATTTTTCGCTCGACAGCCGCCAACACGCTCTCCTTTTCTTTATACCGCGTAGGAACCCCCGGCTATTCCCCTTTATCCCCGTTTTTTCTGCACACTTAGATACGGCGCATCGATTAATAATGGACCTGCTTACAGTGTTGCAGCGGTTTCGATGCGGGTCGTTTTATTCGTGCGATCGTTATTACTATGTTGCAGCCACCACCAGTGCAAAACCAGTTTTGATCCTGGCACTATGTTAAGTTATGTGCCCAGCGTCTACTTCGTAAATATAACACGCGAATATTTTCGCACGCCTCTAGGTACGCTCGCGTCAACGGGACGTTGCTACATTGTTATCCTCGTGATCGCAACTTTTTTCATCCTCCGCTGTCAGCCATTTAGAGCCGACGTGACGATATAATACTACGCACGTCGAGGGATATCAAACGATACTTCGACAACATTGTGATGTCGATACTTCAGCTTCGATACCGACAAAGAAACTTGGCACTGCAGTAATTCGAGGAAAACTCGGTACAAATGTTAGCAATCACGATCCACAACCGTGTGTTTCATGACGCTTGAAAAACAATTTTACGGATTGGTGCGTCTAATGAAACAATTTTATTGATACCTCTCTAATATCTCTCAGATCAATGTTCTTTACGACCGAATACAGATGTAAATGCTAATAGAAAAAAATCAATTATCAAGAATCTTAATCACGGGTTGTCGAGCTTTCCCAGTCGAGCTTGTACTTTTTGTACCGACACGATATGTTTAATATTAATAAGGTAAGTATAGCATTAAGCTGCACTTATAACATAGGTATAATTCATCTTGATTTACCTGACACTGATATTGCAAGGAATCCGTTCTTTTAGTAGAAGCATCGTTATTTTATTCGAAGCATTTTGCTCACGCATTAATGTACTCCCTTGACCATTCACTTCTCTCTTTTCCGCGCACATCTGCGTTTTGTTACAAGTTTTTCGTCGAGTTCCTTTACGACGAATCCGTTGTTCCTCACCACGAAGTAGAGATTGAATTCTGCATCGCTAACAAATGCTCTTCAACCGACTGTTGGCCTGGGAAGAAAGGGACTCAGAGACGTATAAGGAATATATGGTGCCCCGGAGCAACACAATGTAGTTGGGGCCCTCCCATTCCATGCAGATACATAATACGATAAATGTATCCGGAATCAAATTAGCTACAACGTTTATTTAAATCTCTCTCTCTCTCTTATTAATCAGAAAAATAAATCTAATATAATATTTCTCAAATGTAATGAATTAAATTACCACTTCATTAATTATTAATTTTCCAATTTATCATACTATGAATGAATTACTTTATCAGAATTTATTTTTATCGATTTGATTAATGAATGAAACAACATCGTTTCTCTCATCGACAATCTGGAATTCAATTTCAATTTGCGAAGGCAATTAATTACTGTTTCAATCGGCAACGAGATTATCACTTTTGCCAGAAATAGAGATACTCAAGAAACTATTGCAAATAAACGCAAAATTTAAATAATGATACAAAAGGAAAAGGAAAATAGATTAATTACTCGTAGATATTCTTTTTTCCCAAATAGAAACGAAGTAGGAGCAAAAAGTTTTGCCGCCCTTGCGGCGTTCTCGTAGACTGACACTCGAAGGCATCTGCGCGCCCCCTTATCCCCCTTGCAACATCTCTGAAGGGACCCACCTCCTTGCAACCTTGTAGCCGCCATGACGACCGCATGGTTTCATAATGGTCGCTGAAGTTATGCGAGATCGATAATTTTGAAATAAAGTTGGACAATGTTTCAGAGCCTATCTTTTTTTGATACAGGATTATTATCATTTTTATTGTTTAAATTATTTAAAGTATTATATCTGTGTTATATCTGTAGACACACCACAAAATAGAAGAGACGTTTTTATATTTAAACAAATCTCTATTTTCATTAAAGATTTTCGTTAGTCGTATACGAATTTCGATTCTCTATTTCTCTTTAATATTTAATTCGGTTATGGCGTGATTCTATTGGCTCCTTGTCAAGCGATGCGCTTTTGTTACGGTAAATTATGGCATTCTTGTAATGTACCGAAACAAACGAGACGTGCATCGCAATTACAATGTGTTGAATTTATTGTTTTTGTACAAATTACCGGAGAAGGACGTTATAAATTGGCAGTGGAAAGTCTTGACCGAAACTTTATTATTAAGGCTCTCTTTGTGTTCTTATTGCTGAGAATTCTCACAGTTGGATAGTATACAGGGTGTCCTATATTTCTCGCACTTTCTATTTGTATATACGAGAAGAACGGCTTTGCTGAAGTATCTTCAAATAAAATAAATTTAAAATGAAATTTAGCTGAATACAGATCTGAAAATAGTCTTATTTAACTATTAAAATAATTTTATTTAACTATCAAAATTATATAAACTGTTTGATAAAAATGTTAAAATTTTTTGTAGCATTGCTTATCAATGGCAGATTGTCATGTTTGAGTTTCCTACACAATTATTTTAATAGTTCAACAAAATTATTTTCAGATCTGTATATAGTTAAATTTTTAAATACTTCTAAGGATTAAATTTCAAGCTTGAATAATTGATTATATTAATTAATAATATAATCAATTATATTACTTAACATGAATAATCGATTATATAACACAGGTCTACAAAAAAGGGGGTCTTGGATGTTGTCGGGAAGCTGTGGGTCATTTCCGAAGTAATTTTCTGCGTAGAATCCGAATCTGAAACCAGAATTGGCCCATCACGTCAGGATTTTGAGATATTAGGGGATATATACTCGAAAAATGCGTTTTTATGCTACTTTAGAGGTTATGTACAGGACGCAACCAATTTTTTGGGTCTTTTGTGCTATTTGCATCATTTAGTAATATTCTTACCCTTCAAAATGAGATATTGATCGACTACCTACGATTTTTTTTCGCCAAGTTACGGGCATTTTACTTTTGGCATTGTTCCAACGCCTTAATGACTCAACACATGATTTACAAGCTACGTGTGGAGCCCAAGACTTATCTTGATTGGATATCGAAATGTTGAAGTAATTGCGGTAAAATGATTTCACATTATCTTCAAGCTTTATCCTGTTCTTAACAAACGTGAAACGACCACAAATATAACAAAAACTGTTAGGATCATTTAAACACTTACGCGGGGCCATTGTTAAGACAGCAAACAGTCACAATTGTGACTGTTTATATATTAGGACCTTGAATAACGGACAGCGCGTCTTGTGCGCAATTTTTCCTAGAATTTTTTAAGCATTCTTTGTAAAGCTCTTCTCTTTGTCTAAATTGCACAAATGGACTTTATTAGAATAAAATATTAATTTGAGACTTGAAATAAAATTTATCAAGATAAATTATAAAAAAAAGCCTCATATAATTTTTAAAATGCAAGTTCTTGTAAATAATTATGTTTGTGAATAAAAATGGTACTGAGAGAAAACTACGAAGATAATCTGTGATCATATTTCTTTGGAATATCCTTTCACAAATGCAGAAAAAGCAGATTACTTGTAATGTGAACGAGTTTCATATAACGTCGGTACATATATCTACCAGTTTAAAGTATTCGCTAAGAGAGGAAAATACTAGGCTTTTTAGTCGCTAGGAACAATTTACGTATTCATAACTCATAGCAACGCTGAAAATGGAAGTGATAAAGCATTTTAATCCTAGAGATTGTATTATATTTCGGTCGTATATTTTAATGCTATTATAGTGTTAAAAAAAATGCTAAGTAGATTCCAAGTGTTTTAAAAAGAAAAACGGAAAATGAAATTAAATTCTCAAATAATCTTAATGAACCGTCCAATTAAATATACAGTTTATGCAATTAATTCTAATTCTTAAAATGCCTTAAGAATCGCAATGTATACTTTAAAACCTGCCACTATTCGAATTAAGCTTTATTTATTTCCGTTGAATTTTTTTATTTCCATCGAGTTTAATGGCGTTGCGTTGGCGGTGTATTGTAAAATTTATAAAATATTCCATAATAATTCACTTTATCATATAAATCATGTAATATTACGTATTATAATGCGATAAGTCTTGCACGCGCTTTCTCTCCACCGCAGATTTCTCACCAAAATAGAATTCCCCTTTATTTTTTTCGATTAAAAATTCGATAGGGGATTATCATTTGTCACAATTTTTTTCATTTTCAATACATTCTGGGCGTTACGTGACCATCAGTGGGATATTCATCCCTTTCTGTGAGAGTCACCAGCGGGATATATGCATTTTGCCTTCAATACGCTATGGTTATACGTGACCGTGAGCTTTGGTATAGTATTACACCAGTTACATATATGGATTTCATGTATATCAATCAAACGTCTGGTCTCTCGATGCAGCATTCATTACCAGTCAGTTGAACTTGACAGTTCAGTCATGTTACATATTTGTAAGAATTTTTTTTTAATTTAAGAGAACCTTGCACGTAAGCTATTTTAATCTACAATGTTCATGCTGTATCCAATTATTTTTGCATATACTTTTTGTACGGGATTTAAGGGATACACGAGATACATTTTATTCCCATGCTGGGTATCTAAAAATTGAAGCACGAGATTGACATGAACTATAATAAAGAACGCACATTTTAACAAGATAAATACCGAGCAGTACAACGATGTTGCAAAGTTAACATATAGCAAAGCTCTGTAATCAGTTCTTAAACCGTCTTGCTAAATAAGATTGTGTTGCATATTTAAATTGTGATTCGCCCTCTCCCTTTTGAGAGCGCCTCAATTATGATCACGCTCTGTGTGGGACGAGCATCGGAATGAGTTTCGCATCACACTGGTGAAAGCCGCCACCGCAAAGCCTGAAATTTACCCCATTTGGGGCGAGATAAAATTATTCTACCTCGCGGTTACATACGGATATTGTATATATTTTTTTCTACTTAAGATTATTTAGTATTTAAACGCTTAATTGAACTGAAATTTAAGTTTGTAAAAAGTGATTGCTTTTAATTGAGAATATTTACGATGATGGTGACGATCACGCGAACAGATACCTGTCCAATAAAAAAAATTCGATAGGGTCTTCTTATATTAATATGCATTGCAGTACCGCCAACGATTGAAGATTACCAGTTCAGACTGGCTTAAAAATGCTTTACGATGCTTTTAAAGGCATTGAAATGCCAGTCATTTTTTAATCTTTTGAAAATTCATAAAGCAGAATTACAAATATTTTACGGAATTTGTGCAGTTCGGAGATAAAACGGATGAGACCTCTTCTGACATTTTGATGCACATATTTTTACATACGTATTCATACGTGTTCGTGTACCATACAAATATGAAACAACAGATACCGGAAAATCTACCAAAATTTTTGCTTTTTCCATAGTTAAAATTTTTATAAAAACTTTTATAAAATAATATTATACGCAGTAATAATAAAACACACGCAGTTCATAATTTTGTACGACGTAAAGGGGAACAGACCTTAATAAATTTGAAGCCGTTTAATGAGAAAACGTTGTTGAGAAAATATTTATTATACGAGAAAAACGGTTTTGCTAAAGTCTCTAAAAATTTATTTAGATACAGAGAAAATTTTGTTGAACTAAAGTAATTATATAGAATGATGAGCAGCAATGCTGCAAAAAATTTTAACATTCTGGCAACCAGCTCTTGAGCATCCTAATTATATTTATTTTATAGTTCAACAAAATTATTATCACATTTATATCTGTAATTAAATAAATTTTTAGTTATTTGAGCAAAATCGTTCTTTCCGTGTAAAAATATTATTCAGCTATATCAGATTACGTGAGTACTTCACCTTTCTCCTTCTTCCCTCGTTTTCTTTCTGTTATACATCAAAAACTAAGAAATTCGCTTCCGGCAGAATAATTATTCAATCGGTTGTTACGTATGCCAAAAAAGCTCCATTTTTTCGCATCGGAATTTGAAGAGGCGGAGCCCAATGTCCAGACAGCGATTCTCCTTCTTTCTCTTTCTTTCCTTTCTACAAGCTGGTTTTTTATCATCGCATATTCCGCCTTTTAATCCCACGCTATAATAGCGCTCGAAAATACGTCGTGGTGGACGTATCAATTAAAAAATTGCACCGTTGCATCTGCGTCATTTGATACATGTCGCACGGGACGTCGGAGGAAAGACTGGAATGACGAGAAGGGCGCGAGAGAATCACGAGAATCGGGAATTAAAAATCGCCTTCGAGAAAGATAAGTGTATTGAAATATATTGTTTCCTCTTCGGGCCACACGCCTCGTTTCGTCGAAGTACAATTCTCTTTACTTTTTCTTCGCTGAGCAACTTGTTTTATTATAATTATAAAGTTTTTTATCGCGCAAATTTAGAGGGCTTTAAATTTTATAAATGAGACATGCGCCTCCGTCTCTCCTAAAATTACTTAATTCATCAAGATAACTTCCCTCAAAAATTTACTAATTAAGTCAAACAATGTGTTAAAAGGCTCAATAAAATTAAATAATAATATAAAAGAGGGCTACGAGCCTAAGATAATAATTTTAATATAAACAGTTAAATCATACAAACAAAAATAATCGTATATACAAACGTTTCGTACCCGATCGGGTCATTTTCAATGTTAATAAAAATCGGTTATGAATTTACTTACATTAAAATATAAAATAACATAAATTAAGGTCTGAAGTATTAAAAATTAATTATGTCTCTGAAATCTAGGTGATCGCAAGGATGTGAACGCCTTGTTAGTCTATACAGTATTTAGTAAATTGTAATTTAAAATCTTCATGAGCATCAAATGATTCCAAATGAGTCATTAGACTTAATGAGATTTGCAGTATACAATATTGTTGATTGATAACAGCAGAAGTAGCCATTTTAACAATAAAAAAAAATTTTTTTAAATAAAATAAAAGATAAAAATTACTAATTAAGCTCTTAATGTAGAAATAATTGTTTTATATATTTTTAGCGGTAAGATGAAAACGTTTAACAACGATCATTAAGAACATGAAAAAGTTAAGAATATCTTAGGTACTTCGACGTTCCACTCGCTGAAGCTGGGCTTCATAAAAAAGCTATAACCACGACTTTCCCTTTTTTTTTTTTACACAAGAAGAATACGGCGGTAAAGCGGACCCCCCGATGCGTGAAGTTAGCTAGTGGCGAATGTTTCAGACAGAGGCAGAGAATCTTACGCTTATTACGAAAATATTAATTGCCCGTGGCATACGTGATGCGTTCGCATTTTGATGTTGATTATTATACTGCCAGGCGTAGTAATTAACGACAGGACAGGAGATATTAGTCGGCAACCGGGCGAAAAACACTCAGCTTTAGTAATTAATTAACGAACAGCTGTTTATCAAGACGATTATCATTCGCTGCGGATGCTGGTGATCGGTATCGTTGTTTAATTAAGCAGTTCAATAACGGGGACGAGAGGAGGTTAAAGAAAAATGTATTAAGAGAAAGAATCGTCGCACCTGATAACGGGAGTCGGTGTAGGTTTCTTCCTGTCAGGAGCAGATAAGGAATAAAAGTGGCCCGGTTAAAGAGCCGGCCGTCCCGTTTCCGCCTGCCCCATTAACCCCTTCTCTCTCCCTCACGTAACGCTAATTTGCTGCGTGCGAACGCGTCCCTAACGGAATTGATTAATAATCTATTTCCCGTGCCATTGATCCTGGACCTAACTGCAAACTCTACCCTTCGCGATTATCGTAAACATACGCACACTTGCTACTGTTACCCTCCTCGAATACTACCGGGTAAACAAGTTTCATGTCGGGCATGTCGATTTATCGCGACATGCTGTAAAGCCTAAACAGTCTCGAACTATCTGTAATGTCTCGAAGTTGCTTCGGTATGGGGTTGTAACACCCTAATGCGGCGTACGGATGTTGAACGAGTTTCCCTGTTACGCCGGCTACTAATCGACCATTCCCCCGCGATTTTCTGAAGTTCACGCGTGATTTTTGGCAATAAAAGCGCCGGCGCGACATTTCGTACACACACATATCCACATTCACAGACGGGCACACGCCCGATCGATACTGAACGCATACAGCGTCACCCGTTAATTCACGATTCCCTAAAGACATTCTCCGACATTGGGTATTCCGAACAGAAGGGCATGATTCAAATGAATTTTAAGTGAATATTAATGTGTTTGAGAAAAGACCTATTTAGAAGAAAGACTAGAGGCTCATATAAACTCTTTTATGACAAAAATGAATTTTCTGTTCAC